ATTTAAACAGAATTACAACTGTAATATTGCCAGAATCAGAATAATTACAATCAGTTTAACTGCATCAATTTGGTTGTGTCTCTCAATCAACTACATGTTTATGTTTGGCCAACCCCTGATTGAACTGCTTATAGAGATCATATCTCAAAAATCACATAGTTAATGCAGAGGTTTAATATTTTAGCTGGGTGGTATATGCATAATAAATCCATTTTACATTTTGACTAGAATTGAGGCATTTTATCCTTATGTGCATTTTGGCAATTGCATTTAATGCAGTTGCTTCTACTTATGAATAAACATTGCTTAAGTTACTGCTGTATTACTTGATACAATATATGACTGAGAAGTATGTGGACAGCCCTTCTAATTAGAGGGTTCAGCCATCTCAGTCAGTGATAAGAGGAGGTATTAAGTATACAGCCATGCAATCAGAATTTACAAACACTTCAAGTATAATGGGTTGTACTGCACTGACTTTTAATGAGGCACTGTCAAGGAATATCAAGTTTCCAATACATCCATTCATCACATTTCTTCCCTGCAAGATCAGCTTAGCTTAGGAGCAATGACAGGCAATAGCGAAGTGGTAGGCCACCAGAGCTCACAGAACATGACTGACACACTACAGGTTCCAAACTGCCTGTGACAGCAACATTAGCACAAGAATGATTTGTGGGGAGATTCATGACATGGATTTCCATGGGCGAGCAGTGGCACACAAGCCTGAGATCACTGTGTGCAATTCCAAGCCTTGGTTAGACAGGTGTAAAGCAGACTGTGATTGAACTCTGGAGCACTGGGAAATGTCTAAATCTAGAGTGATGGATCATGCTTCACTAGTTGGAAGTCTAATTTGAAATAAGTGGCATAATTACACGTTAGCAGAACACTACCCACATGCATTGCTTAGCTGTTTGTTGGACAAATAATGAGTGGGGGAATTTTCATGGTTTTGCCCCAGCCCCATAGTTCCAGTTAAGGAAAGCTTTCATGCTACTGGGTATAATAATATTTTGGACAAAGGTATGCTTCCATTAGGACAGCAACAGTTTGGGGAAGATTCGTTCTTGTTCCAACACGACAATGCCACTGTGCACAAAACCAGGCCCATAAAGGAATGTTGTTCCCACTTATGTGTGGAGCAGCATGGTTGGCCTGCAAAGAACCTTGACATCAATCCCATCCAACACCTTTGAAATGAACTGGAATGGCAACTATGAGACAGGTTCCTGCCTAAAGCCTTTATGGCTGAGTGGTAGCAAGTCCCTGAGGACAATTCCCAAAACAAGATGGAAACCTTTTTTAGTAGGGTGGAGGCTATTGTAGCAGTAGTCACATGTTTGCTTTTCAGGTGTCAACATTCTTTTTCCGAAATTCTTTGTGTATTACTGTGTATTATTGTGACACCATTTTATGAGATACTGTCATACATTTTAGGAGTACAGTTAAAAACTCATTGAGGGTTGTTAAAATATTCAGAGTTTCTTATGTTTTCAGTAGTCTTTATCACTGACAGCTTTAACACAGTAGCAATTATACCCACTGTAAGTACTAGGGATGTGCGTGAATAACCGATTATTCAATTAGTCAAATGGCCAACGTTGTTGAATATTGAAAGAAAAAACTGAATAGTTTTTTGGAGATATGAAGTGGAACTAAGTGGGAGATATGTTGGCAGATAAAAAAGAAAAAGTATGGCATTATTTTATTCATTTGGACAACAAAGATGAATGTTCATGATGTGGGAAGAAATCGTCTTCACACAATTCTACCAGCTGAGCAGCAAAAAGACAAGATGGAGTGACAACAAAAAATGACTGGCTTTGTTGCACCTAAAAGCTCATGTGATAGCAAATGACAGGAACCATAACTGCTTTGGTGACATCACAACTAATTGCCTAATTGACTTGGCTTAATTATTCAACCTCAAAAAATGATTTTAATGCTCATCCCTACCAGGTACTTCATAAATGATTGTACAGTTGCTGTTTTTAACATTCAGGAACAAGACCTAATACTGGACATGCTGCAAAAACAATTAGTTCATCTGCAGAATGCTCTGTATTGTTTCACTCTTACCAGAGTTGGGCTGTCCATGTTTGCTAGGCCTTGCTGACTCCCAGCCATCCACAGACTGAACCTCCAGTAGGTAGGAGCTTTTCGTTTCACGGTCAAACACAGTCTGAGTGTAGATGAATCCTAGCTCTGGGTCAATACGGAAAAACTGGTGGTCCCCACTGCGATCATCCAACAGGGAGTAGGAAATCTAGGTGGTGGGGGGTTTGGGGCAGACACAATTATACACAGGGCCAGGTGCTAAAACACAGTTACTGTTATTGCTGCTAATGTACACAGCAAGGAAAATCACATTTTGGATAATCAAAAACAGAGGGAGGCTAAAAATAACAGAGTGCATGTATTTAAAAGAAACAGAGCTCTCCCCACTCCTTGCAACTGACTAATCTGGAAGAGAACAACTTAACCAGCTAAACCCCAGTTTGTATGTGTATATGTAGGTCGGTTTTCACCTTGCCATTGAGACCCAAGTCGAGGTCGTTGGCTGAAACCTGCAAAACCAAAGTTCCCGATTCTGCCCCTTCAGTGACAGAGGCCTCGTAGATTGATGAAGTGAAAAATGGGACATTGTCATTTACATCTGGAGAAGGAAAAGGAAGGAAGTATGGTTAAAAACAATTTTTGAATTGTAAGTCTCTTAAATGTGGTAGAAACACCACTGGTGACTGATGGGCTCTTCACAAAGCCCAAATTGCCTGCAGCGTTAAATCTAGCCTTTCTCTCTATATAGTGGTATGTTGGTGGTATAGCTATCAATTACACAGATAACACAGTATCTTTGTGAAATACTATGCAGCTCCTAATTTTTATATTTTGCATGCAGTTTTTAACAGTTTAGAAACAGTACATGGAAGCAAACACAGAAATATCTTTTTGATGGACAACACTCAACACAGCTTCTAGTTGCCTACCATATTATAATTAATCTTTCAGATTGACACAGAAGGTATCAAAAGCAATGGCAATTACTGTAATTACACTAATCACTTTTGTATCTATATAATCAGTTTCAATTTCAGCGAAAAGGCATCTAACCTTTGAAGCACTGATGTTACAAGTCAGCTGTACAGTAACATTTAAGTCTGCTATATTCATCACCATCCATGCGTAATTATTTATTTTACTGATATTATTCTTATGTTATAAACTGGGACAAATCTTATTGCTAGGAGACTCTGGTGTCTATGTAGACTCACATCAATAATGCTTTTCAACTCTTTCAGTGTTTTGAATGCTGGATGTTCCTTATCTCCTTTGTTTAAAGACAAACACAACTATTACCTTTACTCAGCATAATTAATATTTCCATGTAACTGACCCCTTATCAATACTGTTAAATGACTTTAGCCCTGTTTATTTAAATGAATTACTTCAGTTGTATCCGTGTGTCCTCAATAAATCTAAATGTTCTACCACCAAAGACTCACTGTCTTATGGTCTCTGTTAATGAGTCTGTCTGTTCTAGTTTGGTCCCTGACTATTTCCTACTTTCTGCAACTAAGAAATGTTGCTAAAATTAGATCAATGCAGCAGGAAACTGAACAACTCAACAAATTCTAAATTATTGCACCACTGTGGACACAAGTCTAAATGGCTCTGCAAAAGATTATCAGTATTTGGACCAGAATGTACCAGCATAGCTTCTGGACTACTTAATGAATGCACTGCATTGACTTCCGTTGCATTTTATAATTCAACTTAAGACCCTGTTAATTATATTTACAGCCCTTCATGGTGTGGATACCTTGTACATCTTTGATGTTTTGACCCCATATTCTGTAACTTGACTCTGCAAACATGCTGACAGAGTGGTTTTACAAGTCCTGCAGTCTTGCTAACAAACGAAACAGACTGTGCTTCTATTGTTTTACCTTCTTGCAGTGTGAAAGCCTTTTTTCTTCTGTTTACCTCACAGTCATTGCAACAAAAGCTAACATGTTGTAAATCCCGGCCTCAGACTGTTATAACATCCTGTACAGTGTTTTAGTGTCAGATAAGAATTCAAAGTCTTTGATCTGTTATTCACACTAGACTTATTGGAGCATATATTTGTCTTTCTGGCATCTGAAACAACATATTTCCGCCAGTGCAACCATTTATATTGTTTATGGTCTGAACACCCACTGTGTCAAACTGCATCAACAATGTGGTGAAAACATGCAGTGTTTATGGTCTGAACACCCACTGTGCCAAACTGCATCAACAATGTGGTGAAAACATCCTTTTGAAATCAATATGCTTCTTTCATTTTTCTTTGAAGGTAATTTTGCAGGTTGTGGATAACTTTAATGAAAATGAGTTCATCCCTAGTGTTCATTAAAGTCTTCAGTAAATTGTTTAGCAGTGTACAGCAGCTAGCTCCCAGGCTAGCCTGATAATTTATGTTAGTCTAAACATTTTCTGTACTTGGTGTAACCAAGTATGGCACTGTACACTGACAAATGATGCTTTAATGTCATTTCTGCTGTTGTGGTTGCATCTTCAAACCCCTGTTAGCATCAACAGAGGTGTGAATGTGTGCATTAGGCCAGTCAGTAATGGACACAAAATGTTCCTTTCTTTTGTCAGTTACCTTGAATAACATAAAGTAACGTAACATACCCAGTAGAGAGAAAAATTAGAGTTTAGCATACATGTTAAAGAGAGATAAAGCAAGTAGTACCAAGAACCAGTGAGACAGAATGTGAACTCTAAGGTTTGCCTGAATAGCAAAAGCCAAACTTTAGCATAGTTGACAAGAGCCAAAAACATTATTGGTAATACTTGAATAGCACAACACATTAAAACTAATCCTTGTGCCAATTATTCCTCTCTTTTCTTTTGAGCAAATATCTTAACCTGTGAAGTAATAACAGGGCCTTAAATCCATTACAGAGCTCCCTCCCTCGGCTGCAGTGCCTATGGAGAAACCAAAAAGCTTCCTTATAAAAACAGATACAGGCTG